TCCCCCCTCATTCTTCTCTTCTGCAGACTAAACAATCCCAGTTCCCTCAGCCTCTCCTCATAATTCATGTGTTCCAGCCCCCTAATCATTTTTGTTGCCCTCCACGGGATTCTTTCCAATTTTTCCACATCCTTCTTGTAGTGTGGGTCCCAAAACTGGACACAGTACTCCAGATGAGGCCTCTCCAATGTCGAATAGAGGGGAATGATCACGTCCCTCGATCTGCTGGCAATGCCCCTACTTGTACAGCCCAAAATGCCGTTAGCCTTCTTGGCAACAAGGGCACACTGTTGATTCATCTCCAGCTTCTCGTCCACTGTGACCCCTAGGTCCTTTTTTGCAGAACTGCTGCCTAGCCAGTCGGTCCCTAGTCTGTAGCAGTGCATGGGATTCTGCACTTGTGCTTGTTGAACCTCATCAGGTTTCTTTTCGCGCAATCCTCTAATTTGTCTAGGTCCCTCTGTATCCTATCCCTACCCTCCAGCGTATCTACTACTCCTCCCAGTTTAGTGTCATCTGCAAACTTGCTGAGAGTGCAGTCCACGCCATCCTCCAGATCATTAATGAAGATATTGAATAAAACCGGCCCCGGGACTGACCCTTGGGGCACTCCGCTTGATACTGGCTGCCAACTAGACATGGAACCATTGATCACTAACCGTTGAGCCTGACGATCTAGCCAGCTTTCTATCCACCTTACAGTCCATTCATCCAGCCCATACTTCTTCAACTTGCTGGCCAGAATACTGTGGGAGACCGTATCAAAAGCTTTGCTAAAGTCAAGGAATAACACATCCACTGCTTTCCTGATTTCCCCTCATCCTCTTCTTTATTTACTTTCTCCACCCCAGTCATGATTTTATAGACCTCAGTCATATCCTCTCTTAATGGACACAGAGGGTCTGATCCAGTCTGGCAATTCGGACATTATCAAACAATGAGCTCCAATAAGACAAGGAACATGCCCTCCAGCAATCCCCCATAACCACCCGCCCTTTGCTTTCTTTGTCCCTTCTCTGTATGGGTCAGAACCTGAGCTCCCTTCTCAGGGTCAGCAGCGACTGAAGCCAATGGGAGTTTTGCCTTAAGAGTGCACAAGGCTGCTAGGGTGTGGCCATGTCTGTGGCTGTCTCCCTCCCTCTCTCCATCGTTCTATGTTCTTCTCCCCTTGATGCAGTTCCCAAGACCTTGTGCTGCAGAAAGTGCAACCTGCCAGTTAAAGCCATACCCAGAGCATCCTCCATCCCTGCACCGGTCCCCAGTCCCCTGGCCCCGCTGCTAACTCCTCTCCAGCCTGTCTGGATTGTCTCGGGGACAGATACTGGAGCACAGGAGCTGTCTCCTCATCCAGACAGACCCCAGCCTCCCCTTCTCAGCCTTTCAACAGCATTCTGCCCAGCCCGTCAGAGGAGGGGCGCCGGGCGTAAACCCTGCTAATTGCTGGCAGAGGGCGGGGGAGACAGGGTAGTGGGAAAAACCCACCTGGTGACCAATGCCTGGCCTGCAGACACCAACACTGCAGCCCCGTCCCATCCCCACGGCCGTGCTCTAACTGGGGAGAAGCGGAGGCCTTAGGAACTATATGGAAAACCAAATGTTTCCAGTGGGGTTTCCCAGCACACAGCCGGCCCGTCTATTGGCTCCCAGCGAGCAGGTCTGGGGCGAGTGGAGCACGGTCTGTGAGCACGACACAAGGAACAAAGGTTTGATAATGGGCCCTTCAGTGTAGCAGAGGAAGGGCCACCAGGATCACAGGGCTGGAAGCTGAAGCCAGACTAACGCAGACAGGAGATGAGGCTACGTTTCTCACAGGGAGGGCAATGAGGCGGTGGGACAATGTCCCAGGGTGGTGGTGGAGGGTTTAAATCCGGGTTGGGTGTTTGTCTGCAAGCTCTGCTCTAGGAGTTAGCTGGGGGCGTCTCTGGCCTGCATGACACAGGCCAGCCCAGACGATGCCAGTGGTCCCCTCGGGCTCCCACTTGCTGCCCATCACCCCCTGCAGTAGCTGCGAACGCTCCTCTCCTCCAGCTCCTGGTGCCCTCCCAGTGCCTGAGCTGCCCAGCTCCGCGCCCTGCCATACCTCGTCCTGGATCTGGTCAGCGTCAGCGACCCTCCGCAGCGGGTCCCGGCTGGGGTGCAGAGCGCTGACGAACTCGTAGTAATCAATGAAGCCATCACTGTTCATATCAAAGATACTGGCCACGGCGCTCATCTCCAGGACATTAGTGGGGAATTCTGGGTGGGGGGGAGCGCGCTGTCAGAGAACCTTTCAGTGCCCCTGCAGTGGTTCCCCTGCGAGCCAGGCAGCTCCCCGGCTCTGGTCTGGGTCTCCCTGGTCCCAGTCCTTCCCAGAGGGAGAAATTCCCCAGTGTCAGGGCCTGTCCCTCCCCCACCCACCCCCACCAGTATCAGCCCTTACAACCCTACAAAAGCATCACTCCCCAATGATGCCTTCTAGTCACCATGGAAACCAGGTGATGTGGGGAGGTGCAGCTTGCATCAACCAGGCCAACCGGACCCGGGCTCCCCAGATCCCCCGGAGGGACTCCCCCACCCCCAACTCCAGGGCCCGGACCCCTGCTCACTGGAGGAGAGGACGCTCTGGACGAACTCCCGCTGGCTGATCCGCCCATCCTGGTCCCGGTCGATGCCTCGGAAAACATCCAGGATGCGGGATTTCCTGTGGCTGATCCACTGCATGTACCGCTTCCTCCAGACGCCAAAGTCAAAGTGCGCAAACTCCTCCACCTCAGAGACAGGGATGCCAGGAATGAACCACGGGGGCAGCTCGGCTGGGCATGGGCCAGGAGGCGGAGAGCGAGTATGTGTGCCCTGCCCCCCCAGGGCAGCTCAGCCGAGCACGGGCCATGGGGAGGGAAACGGAGCGTCTGTGCCCTGCCCCTCCCAGGGTGGCTCGGCCGGGCATGGGCCATGGCTGGGGTTCTGTTGCCCGAAGCAGAGTGTGGTGCTGTGGTGCACACTGCAGCCAGGCCTGGCTTCCATCCCATCAGCCAGCCTGCACCCACCCCAGCCTGCCGCTCCCACGGACCCCACCTGCCACCTCTGCTGGGGAGAAGGGCCCAGCCAGCGCCTGGGGGCCTGGACAACACGGCCACATCAGACACACCCAGCGGGTGCCCCAAGGGCCACGCCAGCCAGTGTTGCTGGGCTGCTCTGCCCCTGCTCTGCCAGGGGTGTCTGGCCTGTGCCGAGTTACCAGGCCCGAGGGGCCCGGTCCTGGCACGCTCCGGCCCCCAGCATGCCCTGCTCTGACCCAGGCCCGTGCCTGAGACGTGCCCCGCAGACCCTGCAGCAGGGACCCATGAGCCCAGGGCAGGAGCCCACCTCCCTACCTCGCGCAGCCGCCGCAGGGCACTCTGGCCCCGG